TATTTTATTGCTCTAATGAAAAATTAGTCTAATTTGCAGAGAGCTACCCATCTGTCTTGCATGGTCATCTGTTTCCGAATTGCTTGCGATTGGAAACAATAATGGAAATCTTTTCATCTATAATCATAAGTTATCTAGGTAAGTATAAAAAAATTTATAAATTATGAAAATTTCTATTAGTCTATTTTATCATCCAGGAAGATTCCGGTACTGGGCAAGCATCAAAGAAAAATAACTGGAGTAGCTATGACAAAGCAAGATCAAATCCTTTGTTGCAGTGATGATAATACAATCACTGGTATGTTCCCATTCTAACTGACTTACGATCTTCATTCCCTTTGAAGATTTAATATTGGAACCATGATTAATGGTACATTTATTTTAGTATCATCTCCTGATGGCGAGACTGTAAAAACGATGACGTTATCGGCTGAAGCAGAGGAATTGAAAATTGGGGAGGTGAAGAGACCCGGAGGCAATGTAGATACAATAGTGAGCATCTTTTGGATACCGTCCTCTCTCTCTTTAAAAAAAGTACAAGGGAATATTTTTGGCCAAATTAGTAATTTTCAGCAACACATGCGATTAATCGCGCCTTAAACTCTGAAAGCTTTTGAGATAAATGAAATTATTTTTTATGGTAGAAATTACCATGACCTACTGAGTATTATATGAAAGTTTAACTTGATGCTAACTAACAATGTAAAAAACCACATACTTGATTCATTTAATTGTTATAAAGATTAAGTTGAATTCTGTTTGCATCCAAATCCCCATTCCCCATTTGAGGTGAGCGCTGTGTTGGGTAAAAAGACATTGTTCATGTCTACCCTAACGGAGAAATCAGCAGCGACAGAGAATGAAGCCGACAATTCAATGAATCTACAATTTCAAGAAAAATATGGAAACATTGTTGCTCATGTTTGGTAAGTTAAGCATAGTCGCGGTGTCGTGATCTTATAAATTATTTCCGGTATTTTTTTGCAGGTACAATGATGGTTACATGATAGTGGGCTTTGAGAAAGGATTTGTTGTCTGCATTTCTGCTCATCCATCTGAGATGGGGCAGGTAAAGTTGTTTGAAACTTCCGTGTATAATATCTGAAAAATCATCCAGTGGGAAGTGCATAATTAACACGAAAATGTAGCGATTAAGAATGGCTTCTCTCAAATGTAACTTGACGCGCTATCAGATCTGCCTTCAACATCTGCGAAACGTATTTCTAAAAAAAAGCAATTACGACAAGCCGCATAGGCTATTTTGCTACAGAAGAACTAACTTCTTCCAGAGAAGCGCTTTGGAGTTATATAGGACAGATTTAGAATCTGCATTTCAAGCTGATATATCAGTATACATCTCTTTTCTCATCACCACTTCAACTGAGTTCTTTTCCTTAAAAGCAAAAATTAGAAAGTATAAACGTGTACCTTACTCTCCCACCTTTTGATATGAATTTCATTTTACCAATAAAGCCTGTAACGTTCGACAGCACAATTATGTTGAGGGAGACATGTTGTAGATTCCCATGAGTAGTACTTCGTTTCATATTCTAAAATTCCTCGAAAGTTTTGAAGGTTAACTTCAGTAGAAGTAATATTCAAAAATAACTTTTATGTGCATACGATAGGATGCTTTGAATAGCAA